CTTTTGCCGCTGAGCTAAATCCCCAGCCCCTAAAAACCTTTTTAATCACTCAAAAATTGAAGATAATGTTTTCTGGTTGGTGCTGGGGCACGGTTTAGGAACTGTTCTGCACCTGTGTCCTGGATCACCACGATTGACAGACAGACCATGCCCATTTTCCCAGCCAGCTGGCCATGCCCTAATCTCCTACCTCATTTTCACCAGTAACCTATCAGTGAATACCACTTCCTTCACAGTCTAGCCAGCACTTTTCTGTCCTCTTCATCATTTTAACTATTCTGGCAGATTGGTTTTAATGTACACTTTCTTGATGACTTATGATGTTGGAAACATTTTTAAAAGTCAATTTTTCTCTGATTTTTTTCCTCAGCTTTTTATTGTAAAAAGTGTCATATACAGAAAAGGTGAAAGAATTACATAATGAATACCCATATACCCAGAACCTAGATTCAAACAATTGTTAACCTTTTTTACTATGTTTGCTTCTGATGTACATATGACTATTTTGCTGCCCCATTGTAAAGTAAGTGTCAGTTGTAATGACACTTGACTCAGGAAATATCACCAGGAAATGTCTCCTAAAAGTAGGCATTTATTGCACAACCACAAAATCATGATTACAGCTGCCAAAGTAATAATTTCTTTAAAATATTATCTAACAGTCTGTGCCCAAATCTCCATTTGCCTCATTTGTTCTGAAAGAATTTATAATCATCTTTTTAAAGCTAGAGGTAAAGAAAGCTGACCCACTAGATTTGATGGTAATAACCCTTTAAACAGCCCCAGCACCAACAGTGACACTGATTTTTTTTGAAGAGCAAAATTCTGTTCTTCAAAAAAGTTCTAGTTATTTAAACAAAAAATTTTTTCTCTGGAGACAGGATCTTGCTAAGTCACTAAGTTGCCCAGCCTGGGCTGGAACTTCCTAACTTAACCTACCTAATTTAACCTCTCAGAGTGCTGGGATTACAGGTTTACCACCACACCCAGCTATAATAGAATTTTTTAAAAAGCACTCCAAAACTTAAATGGCTTAAAACAATGATTTTGTTTTATTTCATGTTTCTGTGGATCACACAAATCTTGGCAGGGCCCAGAAAAGTGATCCTTATGTTTCACATTGTTTTACTTGCCTTTCTCTGGTCGCTGAGGCAAATGTCAAATGAGGAAAGGTTTATTTAGCTCACAGTTTTTGGAGGTTTCAGTTCATAATCAGCAGGCTCCAAGGCAGGGTGGTATGGCAGAGGTGAGACACCAAAGAAATAGAAGCAAAAGGGAAGAGCAAGCCTCTTTCGCTCCCTTATATTGTGTGCAAGCCACATGCCCTAGGGTGGGTATAGCACTCACACCCCCAATCCCAACACTAGACAATAAACCAATCATGAACTCTAGATTCAGCTGCCTCTAAAAAGTCTGCCCCCCGCCCATGACTGCATGAGGCTTTGGCGGGACATCTAGACACAAACCATAATACATATGACATTGACCAAGGTCATTTAGTGGAATTCAGTTGTCAGGTGGACAGGTATGGAGAGTCCAGTATGGCTTCACTCTCATATCTGATGCTTCTGTTGCGACAGTAGGAAGCCTGGGGTCAGTTGGGTCTGCCCATCAGAGCATCTCCTTGTAGCCTTGCTACCAGGACAGCCTCTGAGTAGTCGGTTTTTTAATATGATGGCTCAGACCTCTGAGAGTGAATATTTGGGTGAACACAACAGGAGCCACATAACTTTTATGACTCAGTCTCAGAAGTCACATAGCATTACTTCCATAACATTTCATTGTGTGATGCAGCCACAATGCCCACTGAGAGTCAAAGAGGTTTGTAAAACCACTATGGCCAATGTTCTGGCCAGAAATATACATCTTTCTCCAAGACTCCTTGCTATGGTTTGGATAAATTTACCCTAAAGACCCAGGTAGTAGAAGCTTCGTCTCTAGCCCTTGGCACTACTGGGAGGTGAAAGAATTTCAAGGGGACTTCCTAGTGGGAAGTCTTGGGTCACTGGGGGCATTCTCTTGAGGAGATCATAGGACCCGGCCATTTCCTCTTCTTCTCTTTCCTGTTCTAGCCACGAGGTGAGAACCTTGTTCCACTGTACCCTACTATTATGATGTGCACTCACCAGAGGCCCAAAGCAACAGGGACAACTGATGATGGACTAAAATCTCCAAAGCTGTGAGACAAAATAAAACTGTCTAAGTTGATGTCCCCAGGTCCTTTTATTATAGTAACAGAACATGAACATACTCCTCCAAAATCTTATCCTGTGATACATGCTCTTTTCTACCTTGGACCCCCCATAAAGCCCTTAGCCATTTTAAAAGCATCACTGTGTAGCTGAGAGGTGCTATGAGACACGCCCTTAAGATTCTTAGAGTTTTTGTGTAACTGAGAGGATACAAAGCACTATCTTACATCTTTCTGGGGCCATGAACAAGGGTCTTACAGTTATGTACCAGATTTCTTTTTTTTTTTCTTTTTCCTTTTTCTTTTCTTTTCCTTCTGTGGTACTGGGAATTGAACTCAGGACATGCCCTTGCCAGGCAGGCACTGTGCCACTGAGCTATCTCCCCAGCTGTACAAGATTTCTTGAGTATACTTTATTAGCAGTTCCCCTGCAGAATGATGCACATTCTTATTCTTCTGCTTGTTTCCTTTTAGTGTCATTTAACTTTTTCTCAAATCCACCTCCCACCTCCACATTTCCTATAAATTAGGTCTAGAAGCTTGATTGGATTCAGGTTGACTATTTTTGGCAAGAATATTTCATAGGTGATTCAGCATATATCATAGTGCATTATATCTCCAGCCACATTTTGTAGGATTGTCCTACTAAGATGTTAGCTTTCGTCACTTCCGTATGGTGGTATCTGATCTTTGCATTACAAAATTACATTTTCCTCCTTGTAACTAGCCTGTCATTTGTGGGTAATACTACAAAACATATGCAATGCGTGACAGATTCATGTCATCCTTGTGTAAGGGCCATGCTAATCTTGGCATCCTAATTTTATTCTGAACTGTGGAGGCTAGGCCTGCCCTGGCTCTTGTGAATACAGGTGTTCTGTATCTTGCTCTGGGACCTCCTTCTGCACCAGGGACCTATCGTGTAAACTTAGACTATCCCTGAACTACTTTACTTTCCTTGGTAGTAGTTTTTGCCCATTCTTGGCTAAGCTATGTTTGTCTTCGCTTCAGTTTTTATACCAATCTGATCCCATCTGCTTTCTAGCTTACAGGAATTTCTGTGTATTGCTGGTCTTCTGTTGACACTCTTCATTATTTTCCTATGTTTGTATAAGTTTTATGTGCGTGTATAAAATATCCACAGTGAGACAGAATGTGTAGTTTAAGGAAGTATGAAGGTTGGTGTGTGATTATGTTCAGAGACGTCTAGTAGCATTTACTCTTGGGAAACTGTATTGTAGCCTAATGGTGAAAAATTGTCACATATGTCAAAACCTCACATTGTACCCTATGGGTATATATAATTTTTATTTATAAATTAAAATAAAATAGTTTTGAATAAAAAGTATCAGAAGACAAAGACAAAGATTAGATAATGAAGGCTTGGGCTGGTGTGTAATACAAGTGGAAGAGCACTTACTTGTGATGTATAAGGACTTGGGTTTGATGCATAACACTACCATCCCTCCAAAGACACACGCAAGGAAGATGAGCGAATGAAAAGACAATTGGATAGATAAAAGAATTATAACAGACAAGGGTGGTAGTGCTGTAGGGGATGGTGACTCTTAGCATATCATTTTAAGATAGAATAATTCTAGTCTTAATGTAAGCCTCAAAATGTGTCTTAAGAAACATCCAGGAGGGGTTGTAAAAAGTTAACTTTGCAATCCTGACTTTGCCCTGGAATGCTTCTCCAAAGACAACACCCAGGCCCAGATAACCACCTATGACCTTGCCCGGGTTATTTCATCCCTTCTCTGGCCCTAGATAAACATTGTAACCATAAAGGAAATGTACGGTTATCTAAAGACGGACATATAGAACAGAGCACAGAAAGTATAAATCATTGTGGTTGGGCTCATGACTGGACCTGACCCAGTCACATGGCACAAGGAAAACAACGTGTGACCAGGGCTACAACATTTCAATCTGTACCATGGAAACCAAAAATGTATATAAGGTGGTCACTAAGGCAGGCAGGGGCCCCACATTCCTGATCTGCTAGTCAGGGATGTGCGGTGACCAGTCTAAAATTAATAAACTCTATTTGCCCTAAATAGAGTCCTTTGGTCTTCCATGGAATTCATCCCATTTGCTGTTACAGTGGTCACCTGTAACCCCAGCAGTCTGGGAGGCTAAGAGGCAGGAGGAACCCAGCTTAGGTAATTTAGCAAGACCTTATCACCAAATAAAAAAAAGTTTTAAAGGCATAGGATTGTAGCTCAGTAAAAACGCCTTGTGTTCATCCCCAGTCCCACCAACACACACAAAAGAGAATGATAAAGTAAATAGAGTCAGCAGAATTTGTTGCACATAGGGAAGTTCCTGAATTGGGTAGTGATTATGGTAAATAATCAGGGATAGCGACCCCTTCGCCCAGCTTTAGAGGTAGCCTTGATGGGATTGTACTAAATTGCACGTTCCACAGCTCTTCTTCTAGTTCTTATAACTATGTGATCTAAATTTCCTAATCAGAGTGAATATCAGAACTCTTGATTGGAATACTGAGACCAATGTTTTTGCCGCTACTTGGCAAGAACAAGGATGTTTGTAGGCCTGACCGAATTGGCACCCATCCTATGACCCCAGAGGAATGAGTCACAGATGAGCTGACCATGTGCAGACCAAAGCAAAGATAGATCCCCAAAGGTACCCTTGGGCTGGTGGATCAACCAACTACAGA